TAAGGAGAACTATGGGGAAAAGCCTTAACCCCATAGTTCCCCTTTAATATAATGGAAGTCCGAGCGTCAAGCATTGAAGCACTTCTGGTGACGCTTCAAATGGATCAGGTGTACATGTGGTCTGAGAGGTGTATTATTATAGATCATGTGCTAATCAGACACGGAGGTCTATTTGTAAACAATTCCTCTGTAAATGATCGTTCTGTGCTAATAGAGGCAAAAACAAATGTTCTTTGTAGGGATGCACCGATACCGATACTAGTATCGGTATCAGTTCCCGAGTATTTGGGCGAGTACTCATACTCTACCAAATGCTCTAATGCTAAGCCCGATACTTCCGGTATCAGGAAGCCGGGCAGGGCGTCATTACACGCTGCCCGGCTTCCTGATTGACCGGGAAGCCGGCTCCATGCACGCAGACGGCTTTTCGGCCAATCAGGAATCCAGGGAGCTTGTAATGACTCGCTGCCCGGCTTTCTGATTCGACAGGAAGCCGGCTTCATACTCCCTAGTCACCTCACGATGAGGGAGCATGGAACAGGCCAATCAGGAACCCGGGTGCCGCGTCATTACACGGCGCCTGGCTTCCTGATTGCCCTGAAAGCCGGGCTCAATGCTTTCGCGTCATCTAGTGACTAGAAGCATGGGGACAGCTCCCTGCTAATCGGGAAGCCGGATGGCGAGTCTTTATACGCCGCCTGACTTACCGGCTAATCAGGAAGCCAGGTGGCGAGTCATTACACGCCGCCTGGCTTCCTGAATGGGACTTTCGGTAATCTGTATCGGCGAGTACCGGAAAAAAAATATCAGTACTCGTACTCGATACCGAAATACCGGTATCGGTGCATCCCTAGTTCTTAGTATATTTTTTTCATGTAATATAGTGTTTGGCCACTAGATGGAGCTGATGAGCATAAGAAATAAGTATTATTATGGCCACTAGATGGAGCTGAGGAGCATAGGCATTTAGCATAGGATTTATTTCCTATGCTCCTCGGCTCCATCTAGTGGCCACAATGTGGTATTACATCTGATTCCAATTAATGTGAATAGAAAATAATACTAAGAATGTTCGTTTTTGCCTCTATTTGCATTTTGAGGATGCCCAGCTACCCGCTTTCCCTTTGAGGCTCGTCCCCTGCTGGTGACATTGAGTATTTATAGAAATGGATATGTAATAGTTTCAGGATTGTCCTCTCCGGATGATTATTATGTTGCTGGATCCGGCCTCAGAGAAACTTGCTATTATCATTTAATCAGAATTCAGCAGCCTGAGCCATGTGTGTGTACTTTGGCTGCACATTGGCTGTTGCCTTTGGCACATGAACTCTTCACTCTCCCGAATTTCTCTGAAATTGCGTGAATCTGCAATCCTGACCGGCCATAATGTAAGACAAACAAGGTGGTGCACCCCCCAAATGCCGGCTTGTTGGTGCAAAGATTTGGAAATTATTTGATGTTGTTTTTATGAGAAAGTTACAAATCCGTTTTTCGGTTCGGCTTCTGCAATCAGCTGACATCGGCCTTTATTTTGAGAACCCACAAGCCAGCTGAAGGCTGAAGTCAGGCTTGCAGTTTAAGTACATGCTCTGACGGCCAGGAGGATATCTATTAGCCGACTTCCTGAAGTGGACCTAGCATCAGACATATTTCTTTCTTGTAAAGTGTTTGCATGCCTAGCAGGGGAATGGAGACTAAGGAAATGTTTCCTCCTGCCTGCAGCAGACTGATCACTGAGGGAAGGAAGACTGAGGAAATGCTTCCTCCTGCCTGCAGCAGACTGATCACTGAGGGAAGGAAGACTGAGGAAATGCTTCCTCCTGCCTACAGCAGACTGATCACTGGGGGAGGGGAGACTGAGGAAATGCTTCCTCCTGCCTGCAGCAGACTGATCACTGGGGGAGGGGAGACTGAGGAAATGTTTCCTCCTGCCTACAGCAGACTGATCACTGGGGGAGAGGAGACTGAGGAAATGCTGTCTCCTGCCTGCAGCAGAGGCAAAGTCACTGGATTGGAGCTCTTGGACAGTTTTGTAATGATAAAAGGTGAAGCTTTTGTGAAAAGTGACCCTGTATACTGTACATTGAGACTTGTCAGGAATGTATTGTAAAGAAGGGAAGATCGGTAATGTTTGTCTCTCTGGAGATGAATGGAGGGGCCCAACTTGGCTCTTTCATAAATCTCTATAGAGCTTGCAGTATAAGTCACACCTTTAAAAATGAACAGATACAAATCAACATCGTTTTATAAAATCGGATCTGTTATTGGTGCGATTCCCCAAATCATAGTAAGCCGGGTCCTCGTACTTGTCACTTCGTATCCATTGTTAATGTGTAACTTCAGACATCTGTAAGTTGAAGAAGATTGTGTGTGGACGTTGCTGCCATCTTGTGGCCAATAAAATGTATTACAACATTACCATGGGAAGATTCTTGTATCTGATTGATGACAATGTAATATAATCCACATGCGTTCTGGATCGGAGATCTGCCTTAAGGTGCCCATACACCCATTGTACGATAATTGCGGGAAATCTCAAGATGGGCAGATCGTACATTTTTTTAATTACCTTACAAACATCACAAGACGAAAGTCGTGCAATTTTTTGAAAGGTGTATGGCCAGCTTTAGGAAATAACAGATGAGGAGGGAGAGGGCGGGAACCCATACAGGATTTATAGTATACATTACACCCTATGGAACCAGTGTGAATCCAGTGTAAGGACCCAGTTCTTATATACCTTTCATAACATATAGAATCTTTCTCAAAGTGAAGCTTGGCGAGGAAATAATTATTTTACGGAGAGGCAGAGTAGTCACAGCTCCAAGCTCACTCCTGGGATGGACTACAATCTCAATACAAATCGTAAACTAATCATGAGATTGTAGTCCATCCCGGAAGGGGGGGGGGGGGGCTTGGAGCGGTGACTACATTACAACACACACAGGGACAATGGGGAACAAAAGTAGCCACCCTCCAGAGGGAAGGACAGTGTCGGCACCAATTCAGAGATGATTGGAGGATCTAGTCGAGTGATACACAAATAAGATTCATTGTTGTTAATAGTTAGGATGCTTGAATGCATTTTTAAGATTTAACTTCTGTCACTTTAGTAGGTACTTTGAGCTGCAGTACTCCTATTCTGCCCCTAGGTGCCCTCAGTCTTACAGGCTGAATGACGCCCATGAGACAGCATGAATCAATGGGTGTCGTAGACAACAGTGCGGTTCCTCCATTTATTCATTGTGTATTGAAGCAGATAGCTGCACTGATGTCACCACCGCTGCCCCATCCCCCATTTACACATTTCATTTTATCTGGGGGGGGGTTTACTAGAGACATCTGTGGGCAATCTGGTCTTCTACTCCCTTGGCTAACATGTGGGCTGGGGTCTTGAACAATATGGGTCCTGCACTCTAGGAGGAGGCGATCTTGCCAGCACGAGGACCAGTTTTCGAGCAGGGAGCACGTTAAATACCGAACTCTATCAAGGCTCCCCAAAGCTAAATGAGCAGCACATACAGTTTATGCCGGGAGCGTGGAAGGGGAGGGGGAAGGGGGCACCAGCGTTCATCTTTCTTTTTCTGCCCAGAGTTTCACTCTAAACCAAACTCCACAAATCACAAGGATGAGTCACAAGTGATTTATTTGACGTTATAGGATGAAGACGTTTTGTCTGATTATCAGGAATATTGAACAATCCCAAACAAAGGATGGAATCTGAAGACGTGGAGGAACACAAACATCAATGACATAGATGCAGAATCAGCGTAAAAGTAAAAGCCATTTCTGATGATGAGCTGAACGTCTAACAGGATACAATATATAAATCTACTTTTTGCATAAAGTTAATAAAACATAAAATTTGCATTTATTACATTTTTGCATTGAAGCCTGCAGAGTACCAGGGGTGTCCCTAGGCCGGGTGTCACCTGGAGCACGTGCGTGATGACATCATCGCGCATGCGCGTCCATCTTGGTGATGGATGCCGGCAGAGAGAGGAGAGGGCGTTCACCCAGCGGGAAAGGTATGGCGCCGCGTCCCCTCCTCTCTCATGCAACTGTCGGGCTCGCGGTCCTCGACCGAGTGCCCGACCTTTCAGAGTGGGTGACGGTCCTTGAACGAGTGCCCGACTTTTCAGAGGGGGTGACACCAAAATGACTGTCAGTCATTTTGGTGTCACCCCTCCAATGGTGTCACCCAAGTGAGAGCCGCACCCCCCTTGTGACGCCACTGCAGAGTGCTGCAACCATGATCAATGGATCCCAGGTGAAATGTGTACCTCCAGCCCGAGGTCTGTACTGAGGTATGGACCTTCTGTTGGGGCTGGAGGACATAATCAATGGACTGCGGTGACGTCATTGCATTTGTGCGCCATAGAAACCTATGAGTCCCTCTGCTATGGTGGTACACGGTACCTGCACAGGCGTACTGAATTCACACACAAACAGAAGAGTGCCCAGGGAAGAACCTTCAGATTCAGGCATGTGGGGGGTAGGCACTTTGGGGGTTGGGTATGGTGACCATGTCTCATGTTACACCCTAAATATGTTACAGGGAAAGTAGATAAAAGCAATATTAGTGTTGATTAGTGTGATTTCAGCAGCCACCCAATAACAGTAAGGAATTAGTCATATATACCATTAGGATTGTGTAACCAGTTATTCCCACTCCTCAACTTCCTGTTCAGATCTACACCCCAGTTGGCAGTCCTCAGTGATGCAGAGAGCAGCTCTGCATCACTCTTGTAGTTTCAGGGCACCATGTGATACCCCAGGAAGTAGTGCCATCACAAACCCCCGCCCATTGCACTCACAAGATGTCCACAGCTCTCCAGGTTGAGTGGCGGTAGGAGTCATTTAAGAACGAGGACATCTAGTGGTAGAAAGGAATTACTATGGGTTGCAGCACCATAGAGTAGGTGATGATTGCAGCCAGACCTGGGGGTTTTATTGTTCTGGGTTCCTTTCAGTGGTTAGGGAACCATTTTCTAAAAAAACTACATTTTGCTTTAACTGATGATTTTTACGCAAGAGCCTGGAAAGATATAAAAAGCAGCATGGAGGGGTTCAGTGAAGGTGGCGGTGAAGGTGTGGAGGTGTCTGATTGGGTCACACAGTTCGTAGAAGGACAAAATCCCGGCCTCATAATCCATATAGATCCCGATGGCCTGCACTGGAGACTTCTTATCTTTACTTTTATGAATATTATTGTGACACGCTTTAAAGAAATGATTTTCATAGAGGCCCCAGGATTTCTCATTGTACCCTATGTAGGTTTCTCTGCCAATTTGTTTCCTCTCCATGCTGCGGGTGGCCACCCCTATCAGCCACTTCTTGGCTTGACTTACATCCACCTCCCAGTAGTGTTTCCCTGATGAGAAGCTGCTCGTACTCATCACTTGGCGACATGCAAACCTTTCTGGGCAGTCTGGTCTCTTCTGACTCTTGTCAGTATAAGAAGCTGACCTGAGATCCTCCGATATAATAATCTTATTATGAGCAGTGTTTATATCCAATAAGATGTCTGATTTCTCCATCACTGAGAACTCTCTCTTACTTTTCAGGTCAGTGAGGCCATCAGCAAAGAGTAGAAGCCCCTTGTAAAGCATCTGTAAGGTTGGTGTCTCATCAAAGCTACCAGCGTCCTTCACATCACTGATGACCTCACATCTCCCGGGGCTCAGTCCATCGGTATCTACCTCTTTGTCCAAGAAGGTAAAGGGATCAGCGATATTGCACAGATCTTTGACTTGATCAATCTTCCTGGATATCTCACTCTTCTGTGTCTCCATCTGTTGGATCAGCCTAGAGACTGCCCGTGAGACCTGCTTCTCCTGTCTGAAGACCTCACACAATACTTTCCACTCAAGAACCTCCAGCTGCCTCCTGATGTCTCCAAACAGTTCAGAGACTTTCTCAGCCACAGCTGCTGCTTTGGCTTTCTCTTCTTTTCTGTAGGTGCTTAGATTGTGAATGCTTTTATCAGTCTCCTGTACATCAGTGTTAAGTCTCTCTGTGAGTTTCCTCAGCTCCTCTTTCTTCTTCTCTGAGGCCTCATTGAGAAGCTCCACCTGGTGTCCTCTATGCTGACCCGCCAGGCAGCAGGACACACAGACGCTAACCCTGTCTTCTGAGCAGTAATATTTCAGGATCTCCTTGTGTGTGGAGCATTGTCTGTCCTCCAGGGTAACAGCAGGTCCCACCAAGACATGGTCCACCAATTTACTGTGTTTAAGCAAATGCCTTTCACAAAAAGATGATTCGCACTGCAGACACATTTTAACAGCCCGTTCAGGGAGGTCACAATACGTACACAAGGCCTCAGTCTTTTCCTGGCTGGTAGACTGAAATCTTTCCACGATGTTACACAACTTCCTGTTCTTCTCCAACACAGGACGCTCTACATACTCCTCTCTGCACTCCGGACAGAAGTAAACTCCAGACCCTTCCCGTGTATCCAGAGCAGCCACAATACAGTCTCGGCAGAAGCTGTGTCCACATCTCAGTGACACCGGCTCCGTATAAAGGTTCAGACAAATGGAACAGGTCAGCTCGTCTCCCAGAGCTGCAGACGCCATTGTAGAGAAAACAAACGGAAACGAAACTAATCTTTCTTTTCCTTTCAAGGCGGTTCCAAGATTTCCCCCGAGGGAGTTATGTACACAGATTGTATTCCTGGCACAAATGTTCATTGTCAATTGCTGCAGCTGGAATATGTAACTGTTTCTTATGCAATGAAAGTAAACGGGTCTACAGAACATTGCCCTAAATGATAATGTGTACACAGGTGGCAGGGAAAGAGCTGTCTGACCTTGGAGGGATCTTTTTCCATTTATTGTGTCTTCTGTGAGAAGAAGACATGTGAAATCTCTCCAATGGGGTGCAACAATGACCCTTTCCTACAAAAACCCGTTGGGACAAAAAAAACATTGGTACTTCTGAGATAGTTCCTGTCAGATCAGATGATATCAGAGATATTGAGGCTGGCTTAGATTTGTGTGAAGATTCCCTTCAATGATCCAGTCGTGTGAAAAGAAAATCCCTGTTTCCTTGTTTCATCTGCACGTGATTGGATAACTGAAGTGACTCTTCACTCTCTTTTTTATTGTCGGTGAGCTTTCTTAAAGTGAACCTTTACTCTAGGGTTGCCACCTGTCCGTGATTCACCCGAACAGTCATGGCTTGAAATCTCGCGTCCGGTTTTCAGGCAAGCTGAGCCCCGGACACAAGATGCCACAATTTCAGGGGGACAGGGGCAGCCCCGGGGTCCTACCGCTGAGGCAGCACTGTATTGGTAGCTGTGAGCTGTCATGTGCCTTCTGTGGAGCTCCTCACAGTAAGTCCTCCCTATCTGTGGAGTATACGATATACGATCGTTTTTTTTTAAAACTGTCAGCACTGCTTCCTGATCCTAGTGGAGGTGCAGCGTGAGTGTGTGTGTTCCTTTAAGACCCTGCTTAGACCCCCGCACAGCCCTCCCAATACCCTCGCACAGCCCTCCCAACACCCTCGCACAGCCCTTCGAAACCCTCGCATAGCCCTCCTCACACCCCCGCACAGCCCTCCCGAAACCCTCGCACAGCCCTCCCGAAAACCCTCGCACAGCCCTCCCGACACCTTTGCATAGCCCTCCTGACACCCTTGCACAGCCTTCCTGACATCCTTGCACAGCCTTCCTGACATCCTTGCACAGCCCTCCCGACACCCTTGCACAGCCCTCCCGACACGACCCCCTTGCACAGCCCTCCCGACACCCTTGCACAGCCCTCCCGACACTCGAGCACAGCACTCCCGAAACCCTCGCATAGCCCTCCAGACAACCTTGCACAGCCTGCCTAAGATGTCACATAGCCCTCCCGAGACCACGCACAACCCTCCGAAGAAACACCCCCGCACAGCCCTCCCGAAAACCCTCGCACAGCCCTCCCGAAAACCCTCGCACAGCCCTCCCGACACCCTAGCACAGCCCTCCCGAAAACCCTCGCACAGCCCTCCCGAAACCCTCGCACAGCCCTCCCGACACCCTAGCACAGTCCCCCCGAAAACCCTCACACAGCCCTCCCGAAACCCTCGCACAGCCCTCCCGACACCCTAGCACAGTCCTCCCGAAAACCCTCACACAGCCCTCCCGAAACCCTCGCACAGCCCTCCGGACGCCCTCGCACATCCCTCCCGAAACCCTCGCCTAGCCCTCCTGACACCCTCGCATAGCCCTCCTGAGATGTTACATAGTCCTCCTGAGAGCCCACACAGCCCTCCCGGCACCCTCGCATAGCCCTCCTGAGATGCTACATAGCCCTCCTGAGAGCCCACACAGCTCTCTTGAGACGCTGCACAGCCTTCCTGAGACCCTCTGCTGAAGATATCAGACCGGCAACCTGAAGCAGCACAGAGTACGTAGTTTCATATTATTCTGCATTGCTTTATAATGTATTTCTGGGATTTGTAGGCCTCTACAGCTGGTGGTCTTATTCTGCATTGCTGTATTGCTGTATAAAGTATAGCTGGTTTTGTTATTCTGCATTGCTATATAATGTATTTCTGGGATTTGTAGTCCTCTATGCTGCATGCACTTTTTTGCAGATCGCACTGGACCGGAACGCAGGCACTAATGTGCCACGCGTTTGGGTGCTGAAGATCGCACCGTGGGTGGGGGGCGTGGCTGCGGTACCATTGGGTCCAATGCACCGCCACGCCCCCTCTCGCCACAAAACAAAGTGAGCCAGCTGGGTTACGTTCCAGAGGCCGAACGCACTGGAACGCACTCTTGATGGTGTGACATGTGCACCGGCAAAAAATTTGTTTAGTTTCGTTTAGTTTTCATTCGGATTTTCCGTTATTTCGTTTTTCGTGTCCGAAAGTCAATTCTTTTTGGGATTCGGATTCGGACAAAATTCATTAGCGGTAGTCTGTACGAATTTACGTTTTTGGACGAATTTTCATTGCAGCAAAGTGACATTAGAGGGGAAAAAAATACTTTTTTTTTCTTTTGTTTCTTACAGTCTGCAGAAGAGAAAAAAAAAAGTGTGAGGTTCCCCCCAAATGATACCAGAACCTTTAGGTCTGGTAGGAATGTTAGGAGGGACCCCCCAAGTGAAAAACAAAAAAAAAGGTTCAATAAAGCAATAGTCAAAAATTGACTCTGTTTTTTTTTTTCAATTAAAGGATTTTTTCTAAAAGTGTTGTTTGTTTATTTACTTTGACTTTTAACCCTTTAGGGAATGAGTGAGGCTACAAGTACCCCTTACTCATTCACAAGGGGGGGCGGCATCCGGCCGCCCCTTAAATAAAGGGGTACCCCTATGCAAATAAGCCCCACTGCCAGCAGACCCCCACAACCACCGGGTCATAGTTGTGGGAAAGAGGCCCTTGTCCCCATCGGCATCCCAGGGTACGTGGCCTGGTAAGGCGCAGGGGGGGGACACTCAAATGTCCCCCCCCTCCTTCCTGCCCTGCCAGGCCTGTGCTCGGATCAAGGGTCTGGCAGGAATTTTAGAGGGGACCCCACGTTTTTCACCCCCCATTTTTGGGGGATGGGGTTCTCCCTTTAAATTCCTACCAGACCTAAAGGGCCTGGTATGGATTTTGGGGGGAATTCCACACACTTTTTTTTTATTTTTAACTTGGGGGGTCCCTCCTAACATTCCTACGAGACCTAAAGGGTCTGGTATCAATTGGGGGAATCTCACACTGACTGTAAAAAAAAAAATAAAGTCTTTTTTTTTTAAATCTAATGTCACTTTGCTGCAACGAAAATTCGTCCAAAAATGACATTTTGTAAGACTACCGCTAGCTAATTTCTTCCAAAATTCTCGTCAACTGAAATTCGGATCGTTTTCATGCATTTCTGTCATTCGGAGATTCAGATATATCCAAATCTCTGAATAACGAATCTTTCTGAAACGAATCGCACATGTCTACTAAAGGGAAGGTATTGGGCTGCTACTTGTATCCAGTGGCAACTATAGGAACAATATATAGGGTGGGCACATAAGATACCACAGTCAAAACCGCGGGGGCACTAATACATTTTACCACTAAATCATACCACTGAAAAAAACTAAATAAGTATATACTGTATAAATAAGATTAGAAATATGAGAGTAATGCGGTATGCAATGATACCTTGTTATTGTACTAACATACTAACCCCTCAACTATCCACTACATATCTAAGCCTGTACAGGCTCCCAGGTGGGCTGCGAGCTCTATGCAGGCTGTGTGCGGGCCCCCCCATGATCAGGCTGCTAAAACACCCACCTTACCACTCAAGCGACTCTGGTCCAGATCGCTCTTTGGTAAAGGCCGCAACAGACCAAGCTCCGCCTCCTGAAAACTCCCCTTCCTGCATGTACAGGAAGGTACCAAGTTATAGGGAAGCTGGGCCGGGAACCTACTAAGTGCTGTCCTGCACTTATTACCAACAGCAAAAACAGTGGCGGACCTAAGGAACAGACTGGCCCCCCAACCCCCCCGGCAGTCTCTGCACCACAGGAGCTTACATTCGAACGTCCACCCACAGTCTCACACTACTATTATTATTATACATTAATATACTGTAGCTCTGACATATACTACAGAGATGTACAGAGAACACTGAGCCAGCCACATCAATCTCTGTACAGAGGAGCTTACGCTCTAATGCAGGATGGAACCGGCTGTACTACAAATCCCAGCAATATGTTATACAGCAATGCAGAACTGTATATGAATTGGTCTCAGTACTTTGCAACGCACTGGCCTCTGGACTTAGCAACGACTGGACTCTAGACTTAGGTACGCACTGGGCTCAGGACCCACCTGAGACCCCGCAGAGCTCACCTTAGACCCCACACATACCTGAGATGCCACACAGTCCACCTGAGAGTGACCATAGATCCTGCATAGCCCACCTGAGACTCCCTATGGTGGGCTCTGCAGGGTCTCAGGTGGGCTGGCCAGGGTCCCTTTGTCTGTACCTCTGTCCCAGCTCCTCTTACCTGCTGCTGGGGTCTGGCCTCCTCCGCCGCTGGACCGGCGCTGCAGGGTACCGGCCGGAAGTGACGGAATTGGATATCGTCGTTGGAGATCAGAACACCAGCAGCCAGTGGCGGACCTAAGCAACAAAGGGCCCTGGTGCAAGATTTTTTTTCAATGCCCATACTGGCCAACTGACCATAACTGCTGCAATGCTGAATGGCACCAGCGATAGAGGGCTACAACTCCCAGCAATACTTCATACATAAATGCAGAACAATTCCATCAGTTACAGAGGGTTACAAACAATGTGACTTAAGGCACACACCTTGTTTGACTGTCCTCATGGTGGGAACACATGCAGCAGGGAGAGGTGGTGGGCTCTGAAATCAAGTGGCTGCCGCTCGTTCCTCCTGGCCGAGGCCCCAGGGCTGCCCCATTGCAGTGTGCCTGCAGGCTGCTGTACTTTTGCCTCCCACCAGCTCTCGGCGTCGGCAAGGTACTTCAAATTCCACGGCTATTTTCAACTGTGGGTGCACACTCGGATCCGCCACTGTTAGCGGGGGGGCACACGGGGGGCAAGGACTAACCTAGGGGGGGCAATTGTCCCCCTTGCCCCCCTCCAGTGACGCCACTGCTTGTATCTACCAGGTGATTCGTAGACTGTGGATTAAGATGCAGACCTGCCATTTGAACCAGTGAATAGAACCCCCCAAAGCAATCACCTGGGTGTGGAATCCTTGAAGCCTCTTGATTGATGCAGCTTTTACTTCTCCCCCTAAAATAGTTCAACAACACTACCTTATTATTCCTCTTATTATTCCTCTTACCCGGATTGATACTTGTATTGAGTATCAACCACAGCTTGAAATCAATCTAACTATCAAAACAATGTCAACAAAAACCAATAATGGTAAATACGGTTTGGTATTATAATCCTGTTGGAGTGCTGAATGGTGCTTTCCAGATGCACTCAATTCATGAAAGCAAATTCAGCCCCAGGGCCCAATGGCTAGTCTCAGGAGCCTACTCAGGCTTCCTGTCGCTGACTCTGTTGCTGACTTCCAGTTCAAGACATGGTTTATCTCTGATCTGGATTGAAAATGATAGACTCATCTATGCTACATACAAGTTTATAATTACGGGCTACAATGATGGCGGTAGCAATTTGGGAAGGATTATTTCTCAGCGCATGTGGTCTAGATGCCCTACCCCTCTAGTGTGGTCCCCTATTGCTCCCTGTTACACACTCAGGTGGGATACCATCTTTTGAAATCTGAGCATTGTGGATCTACATTTACTGCCTTTTTTTAAGAAGTGGTCATTAAGGACTGTGAAACGCAATGAATTATATTGAGGGTGGCCCATTCCTTGATACCAACATGATGATTTTGTATAGAGGAAACCAGCTAGATGGTAACTCATTCACAGTCGAAGAAAATTTGTAGGGTAACCTCGGCTGCATTTTATATGTACTGTCTGGGCTACCTGCCCGGGTAATTGACTAGGCATTGGAAATATATGTATTTATGTATTATACAGTATTATAACAAAGTCAAATATATGTAACAAGCAACTGTCTTTCTTTGTATTTATAAAACTTGTACTTTGATTCCCTAACAAGCATTGTATGTAAGAACATTATTGTAGCGCCTGAAAAGTCCTACATTCCATACCTATCACAGTTCACTATGATATAGTCCTTTAGGGATGTGGTGTTGAGATATTGCTGAGTTGATCCCAGATATTCATTGATATGAATAAATTGCACAGTTCAAAATAGTTTTTTGCCTAGAGTTCGGCTTTAACCAACCACCTGCCACCCCAACAGGGCACCACCAGATGTGACAAGGTACCCACAAGAAAACAAAGGAATTTTAACACTGTCAACCATTATCCTTTTTAAAAAAGCAAAAACTTCATTATCCCAAACTAATGCAAAATCATCTGAACTGGTTTGTCTCCCCAGCCACAAGGGAGGCTGCCATAACTTGCTATAAACCAACCACCTGATTCCCAACTTCAGTCGTGATGCCTTCTGTGTGGAGGACATGTACATGAAAGCAGCTACCAACTCAGGTATTGTAACAAGCTATGGCAGTCTGGTGGCTGGGCTGGGGAGTCACATATTGCTGGGGGGGTTGGGAATGGCACGGTACTAACATTTAATGTGCAAATAAACAAACAAGCAAACACATGGGGCATGAATTTCTTGATAAAATGTATTTAAAAACCAAACCACAGTGTATATACAGATAGTTATAGACAGATGTTATAACAAAGGTGTAAAAGATTAAAGTGTATCTCTGGCTAAGACTTTAGCTTTCCATTGGGGAGATTTAACCTCATTTCCCATGTTCACTGTTCCATTGACAATGTGTCACCAGGACAGGGGGTGAGGGAAACTCTCTAAGACAGACACAGACAACCAAAAAAGCACCCTTTGCTATAGTAAGGGAAGGCTAAGCACCTTATTTTTTTGCTGCATGGGTCCCCCTTTTAGAACTTCCTGTCTGGGTGACCATGTTTGTACAAGGATATGAAGTGGGAGAAATCCCTCAATAGGAACACAGGCAGGAATAAAAACACATTTTCCAGCAGAGTGAGGGGAAAAAAATCCTCTGTTGGGGTTTTATTGCTGTCTGTGTCCCCATTAGGGACATTTTCTCTAACGTCATGTCCACGAAATGTGTGTCAGACAGAACAGGAAATGAGACAATATCTGTTCACTTCATATCTATTAGAGTGTGCCAGTGAAGGTAAACTCACTCTCAATGGGGACACAAGTAATAATAAAAGCACTTTTTGTAGCAAAAGGATAGGTTAGGGCAGGGGTAGGCAACCTCAGCATTCCAGCTCTGGTGAAACTAATAACCCCATGATACCTCTGGGAGTCATGCCTTTGGTCTTGCAATGCCTCACGGGACTTGTATCCCAGTAGAAGATATTAGCTGGTAACATGGATAAGCAATCTACCAACAGTTACACTTGGATAAAGTAGCATTACATAATGGCCTAGTAATTAAAATAAAAGTTTTAAAACTATACAGTACACAATGTAACAGAGTCATCTTCCCCGTGAATGCATTACATACAATTATAAATGGATTTGTTCTTGTATTGAGCTGTTAGAAGCATTTCCCCCACATATATCAGGCATGTATCAGAACTGACTCAGGATGTCTCCAGTGGGGTGAGTGGACAATCCAGTATTGAGGAGCCCAACCCAAAGGTGAAGCATGGTTACTATATGATGGCAATTGCTTATAGTACAAAGTGCAAGGAGCAAATGAAATGTCATTCAGTTAGGGTTTGCATCTAAATTTAATCCGTAATGGTGCTCACTTGATAATCCTGATGGAGCTCTTTGGGAACACATAGAAAGCAGCATGGAGGGGCTCCTTGAAGTCGGTGATGAAGGTGTGGAGGTGTCTGATGGGGTCACACAGCTGGTAGAAGGACAGACGCCCAGCCTCATAATCCAGATAGATCCCGACAGTCTTTAGAGATGAGTTGGAGTCTATATTTTTAACAAGGTTCTTGTGCCTGGCTTGAAGACCAGTTCTTTGGGCCAGACCCCATGATTTGTCATTATAACCTATATAAGATTCAGCTCCCTCTGTCTTCCTCTCTATGCTGTGATCAGCCACCCCTATGAGCCATTCCTTGGCTGCGCTCACATCCACCTCCCAGTAGTGTTTCCCAATTGAGAAATTGCATGTGCTTATTACCTGCCGGGCTTTGAACCTCTCCGGATCATCTGGTCTGGTCTCGGGTTTAATGTTGCAAGAAGCTGATTTGAGATCTTTGGAGAGCCTAATGTAATTACTGGCTGTTTTTATATCCAGTAAGATGTTTGATCTCGTCTGGTCCGACAGGTGTCTCTCTATTTTCAGGTTCATCAAACGATCAGTAAAGTCCAGGAGCCCTGTGTGCAGTATTTTTGTGATCACTACTCCATCCATACGTTCGGCTTTCCTTAGATCACTGATGTTGTCACCATTCTTAGGAAATAAGTAATCACCGATAAGTTCTTTCTTGAGAAAAGTTAATGGATCTGTGATCTTATGCAAGTCCTGGATTTCATTAATCTTCCTGGACAGATCGTCTTTCTGTCTCTCCAGCTGCCGGATCAGATCGGAGACTGACTGTGAGATCTGCTCCTCCTGTCTGGAGATCTCGGTCAGGACTCGCTTCTCTACATCATCCAGCATTTCCTTGATGTATTTAAACAGTTTACCAATGTTCTCTGTGATCTCAGCTGCTTTTGCTTTCTCACATGTCCCGAGATCTCCTATATCTTGGATTGTGTTCTCAGTCTTCTGTTTCTCAGCGCTCAACTTCCCAGTGGCATCTTTACATTTCTTCTCAGCGGCCTCGTTCAGAAGCTCCACCTGGTGTCCCCTGTGGTCTCCGGCCACCCAGCAGGAAGTACAGATACAGGCTCTATCCTCTGTGCAGTAATATTTTAGGATTTCTTGATGAGTGGAGCATTTTCTGTCTTCAAATAATTTGGTGGGTTGAAATAAAAGGTGATGTCCTGCCTTGCTGTGGTTTTTTAAGTGCTTCTCACAGAATGAAGCCTCGCAGTGCAGACAAGTTTTAGAAGCTGGTACAGGAAAATCACAATACGTACACAAGACCTCTGTGTCCTCCTGGTGAGCGGATCTGAAGTGCTCCACGATGTTACACAGCTTCCTGTTCTTCTCCAGTGAAGGGCGCTCTGTATACTCGTCTCTGCATTCCGGACAGAAAAAATTTCCACATATCTCTTGTGTATCCAGCACGGTCACGATACAGTCCCGGCAGAAGTTGTGTCCACATTTCAGCGATATGGGCTCCTTATAAAGGCTCAGGCAGATGGAGCAGTTCAGCTCTTCTCTCAGGTCAGCAGATGCCATTCCGTAGAAGAAAATGAATTTGTGATATCACTTGAAGCTCCGTTCTTATACACCGGGGCCGAAAGAGTTTCTGTGAATGCTTTGTTATGTAAAATGAGATCCACCCTCCCCCCTTTCTCTTCCCAGGACAAGTAGATTAGCACATTGACTCTGCCCCACAGAATGGACAGTACAGGAACTTTTTCCTCTTCTCAATCCAAACTCCATCTGTTCTTCAGAGTAGTTATAAGAGTAGAAGGAGGCAGCAATCTACATGAGACAGTTTTCATTTTATTTTAGGATTTTTTTTAGAATGTTTGTCATTAAAAAATGTAGAGGGGGTTCTGGGTGAGACTCCAAACTTTATATATTTAAATAAAAAACACTAGACAATCACAAACTACGAAATATCAGAATATAGGAGAATGCAAGTCAAAGATTCGCTGTATTATCTGTTAAAGAAAAATTAAGTTCTACTTTTTTTTTTATATGGAAAGCGTTCAAATGTTTACAAATCTCCAGATTATCAAAGGAAAATAGTAGAACGCATGAGTTTAAAATAATATCACTTTAAACATAATATCGCTATGTGTTGGGTTTGAATTACTGGTGGATATAAATAAAAATCAGTTTTAGCTTTTAAAAATGTTTTTTTTATACTAATGTTACAAGTAAAGTTGAAAGTAAATCTGCCCTTTTGATAGCATTTTAAAGAAAAACATTGTATATACTGTACTGTATATATACACACTATATTGCTTATACACACTTGGCACAATGCAGTCAGGCCAGGACCGTTCTCCTGGCAACCGCCAAACCCAGACACGTCCATCGGATTGCCAGAGAGAGAAGCGTGATTGGTCACTCCAGAGAACACGTCTCCACTTCTCTAGAGTCCAGTGGCGGCGTGCTTTACACCACGGCATCCCATGCTTTGCGTTGCACATGGTGATGTGCGGCTTGGATGCAGCTGCTCGGCCATGGAAACCCATTCCATGAAGCTCTCTACGCACTGTTGTTGTGCCAATCTGAAGGCCACACGAAGTTTGGAGGTCTGTAGCTATTGACTCTGCAGACAGTTGGCGACTTCTGCGCACTGTGCGCTTCAGCATGCGCTGACCCCGCCTACTTCGTGGCTGAGTTGCTGTTGTTCCTAGTTGCTTCCACTTTGTTATAATACCAGTAACAAGTGACCGCGGAATATTTAGTAGCAAGGAAATTTCATGGAATACCTGAATCCAATGATTTGGAGGGGTGTCCCAATACTTTTGGCAATATAATGTGTGTGTGTGTGTGTGTGTATATATATATATAGTGAGGCACTGGCTGAGGCTGGCAGGGTTGTGGATATTGTCACCTATGTCCAGGGACGTCCGGAGGCCAGGTGTCACATACCGGGTGACACCACGCCGCAATGTCACCACGCGTGTGCGCGATGACATCATGGTGCATGCACGGCCATCTTATTGATACCTGCAGACGGCCATCTTGGTTATGGACGCTGGCAGGGAAAGGAGGCAACGTTCATCCGGCGGGATGAGGTATCCCACTGGCTCCCATCCTCTCTCCTGAAACTGTTGGGCTCTCGGCCTATGACCAAGTGCCCGACTTTTTAGAGGGGGTGACACCAAAATGACTGTCAGTCATTTTTGGATTCACCACTCCAATTGTGTCACCTGGGTGCGGGCCGCCCCCCCCAC